CCCCAAAACCCCAAAACCCCAAAACCCCACATTAGGCCTGGTTCAGAAAATTATTAATAAACTCAAAAATGGACGCAGACGAATTCCTTGAAGGAACAGTTCAGGCAGCACAAGATACTCCCGAAGAAAGTTCTAAGATTGAATCAACGGTTATTGATTATATTGTGGAAATCAAAAATTTTGAGAATAATAAATGTCCAAAGAAAGGAGACGCTCTCGCAATGGGCTTTCTTTCTGACACAAAGATCAAAATTTACCTCATGCTGTTTAGCTGTGATATCGGTACAAGAGATAGAAAGGGTAGGATTGGGAGCCAGAATGGACCAAAACATTTCATTGAGTAAGCAAACTCACTAAATTATAGATACCTACAAAATTCAGATGAAAAGATGACATTCGATAAGGAAAAACTTTCCTTATACTACATCGGGAATCTGACTGAGAAATATTTATACAGGACCAGATTCCAGAAGATGATCACCAATGTGTTAGACATTAACAACCAGATCTATTTCGGAGTTGGAGGGTCTGATGACTTCTTGTACTACTACATTAACTCCCTTTACGAAAGGATCTTCAAGGAGAAGTTATTGGAAGAAGAAAAGCAAAGTATCAAAAAGATAGACGAGAATATTGCAATTGTTCATTTTGACTCTAAGATAGACCTCTTTGGAACTCTTGATGAGATCACCAGCCTCAACTACTTCAAGAAAATATATCAAAGGCTTAAAGAGTCCAAGTTCAAGTGCAAGGTAATATTTATGGGAGTCCAGAGCCTGTTCGTGCCCAGTCAGATTATGGATGAAATCGAGGAGCTTGACCAAGAAATCCCAACTCAAGTTGTGTGGATGAGAAAAGACATCAGAAGTAGAGACTCTACAGACGAGCATACCCAAGCTGGTCATGCTTTCAAAGATGCTTTAAAGGACCTAAAAGAGGATGGATTTACTAATATTGAAGTTTCTTTAGATATTTCAGTTATTAAATCCAGAGAAGCTCCTGGAAGAAGTGATATCTGAACAGCAGACGGTTTAACAGCTGAAGAAGCAGTAGATATCTCAAACATAGCTGCTGGGGAGCACGATGTCAGAAGCTTCATAGTCACAGAATACAACCCTGGCGTTGAGTCTAAAAAGACAGGCAAAGTCTTAATGGATATGACCCATGGGTTCATCAAATCAGCATCAGAGAATAGAGCTTAAATCAATCCTTGAGGATCCTAATGGGGTTTTGGGGTTTTGGGGTTTTGGGGTTTTGGGG